CATAATCCTATACCTTGGATTAAAGTACATCTTTCTTTCAAGCAAGTACGAAAATATGGCTTTACAAACATTTCCATCCCCTTTAGATAATAACTGTCTCTTAACAAAGTTTACCTGAATGTTGGAAGGTAATACGTTTCTGTAGACTTGTACATAAACAGTAAAATATTGAAGTCAGTCAAATCATAGAATTTCAATATTTTCAGTTTACAAAATAATGTATTTGATAATTTGTAACGTAAATGTATAGAGATTTTAACGTGCTTCTACAGTGAAAAGCCTGGGTGGCTGCCAAGGGAAGTGGTTTTATACTGGGGTTTAGTTGACTTGTGCACGGAAGCTGAGTCGTCCCGTTAAGCTTTATTAAATAACACAAAACGATAGACTCGATACTAAAATGCGTGATTAATGTCTACAACCAGGCAGAGAAGAAAAGACGTAGAGGAGGGAAACAGCGACACAGACGGAGGTAAAAAAAAGTCAATAAATGGTTTCTGTGTTGCAGAAAGAGAGTAACTTCAGCTGGTTTGCACATTAATAAGCAACGTTTGTACATTTTATTATCAGCTGAGGTGTGATGAAAAGAAAAACATCGTCATGGTACCGACTGATAAAATTGTTGAAAAAAACATAATATAAAATTTGGGTCATACACCCAACATTAGATTTTACACCATAGTGCAGCAGATAAGAGACAAACAAAAGCGCTCACTATAACCCTCTCTTATAAAATATCTGGGTGTCCATGCAAAATTTCAAGGTGGTTGTCAGTTGTATAGATTTTCCACACTTTGAGTTCATAAATGAAGAAAGAAATACATCATTCCTCATTAAAATTATGTCTTCATTTGTATTAGAGTTGATCACCAGAGTTCCTACTACTATATTTACCATTACCACAATGGCCGCTATAAAACGTGTCAAATAAAAAGACAAAGATGTGAAAATTTCAGTTTTGATCTGGTAATAAAAAAGAAATTGGAATAGGATCAAAATGAATTATGGTCACGATATTAATCCTTCATGATTAACTAGTTAACTAAAAAAAAAGTTTATTTAGGAGGATAGTTACATTTATAGCTGCACAAAGCTGTGCCCAGCCTTTTTCCAACCCCATTCAGATGGACACTCTGCTTCTGACTGACAAGTCGTTACGTAAAACCATGGCTGATGGCCATCTTGAAATTTTGAGCGGACACCCATTCATTTTTAAAAATTGGCCTACGGAGAGCCCTTGTACCAAATTTTACGCTTTCGTCATTAACTGAAGTACTTTAGTAAAAAAATTAATTTATCTGCTGAGCTATAAAACTTTTTTTCAAGGTTGAAAAACATGATCTTAGTTTAAACTCCTGTCATGAAAGGCAAGGGGTGATACATTTACCAGAAACAGTCCTCACTCTTTAAACTAAATACTTCAGAGGACTTTTTCTAGATCAGTTTTTCAGAAAGACTCTGACTCTCAAACCGTTAACGAGATTTTCCTCCAAATCAAAAGTCTTTCTGCAGCTCACCATAAAAATCTCCATCACCTTTCGTCCTTTGGAATGATTGTATAAAAAAACAAAATGTTAAAGTAATTATTTCTGGTTTGTGTGTCAAATTAAACCAAATGTCACCCGTGGACAAACTGAAAGTAATTAATTAAAGCAGGCGACATCATAATCCTCTAATTGCAGCGTGACACTAAACACCCCGCGGCCTCGCAGGGAACAAACAAAAGGGGTGTGTGTGTGTGGGGGGGGGGGGGGGTGTCCACGATCGACACCCACACTGCCGAAGTTTTAATCTTCCTTTTAGATCTTGTTAATGTTTTGTTTGTGGGTTATGGCTGTCGACACGCTCGCAGCCTCCAACGCCCCCCCGGCAGTTCAGAGAAAGATTAGCCAGGTTGTGATGAATGACCCTCACAGATCGAGCGCGAGCCCCCCAGGAGTCACGGGCATGAATTATGAAAGCCCCCGTCATAAATAACTCAGCGTAATGAGGGGGTGCTTACACGCTGCAGGCGAGGAGAGAAGAAGGAGAGGATGGGAGGATGATGGAGGGAGGTGGCAGTTTGACCTTGGACTTAAAAGCCCGCTGCGACGCTCAGCAGGTGGATGGAAGAAAAGCAACAGCCGAGTTAATTTTTCCATACCACCCCCCCCCCCCCCCCCCCTCCCTCTCCTCAGAGACGAGAGCTTTGTCCCTCATTACATGTCAGAAATGTTAATGTTGAGCAACAGGAGGCTGGATCTGGGCCAGGCTCAGATTTGCTTCAGGTGGCTGTCATCACTCTGAGTGACGAGTATTTAACTCCAAACTAAAAATCTGTGAGCTCTCATTAAAGTAGAGCACTTTATTTTGGTTTTAGTGCTGGCTGATACTGTTTTAGTCTGGGCGATACTGTTTTAGTGCTGGCTGATACTGTTTTAGTCTGGGTGATACTGTTTTAGTGCTGGCTGATACTGTTTCAGTCTGGGTGATTGTGTGTCGGTTTAAAAAACTCAACTGGACAGATTATTTTAACTCTTACAGTAAACATATGATTCTTTTTAATCCTTCTTTTTCACATTTGAATCATTCAGTTAGGGTCTTACTGTGGCCCCTCTTTCACCCCGTTTCTGAGGTGTGTCAGATTAACTCATTTTGAGACTGTCTCTTTAAATCCAAACAAGGCACTTCACGCCCCGCTCTCCTCCAGCTTTCAGACTGGTCCATTCTAGTTTAATAGAGGGGTTTACGGTTATATAGCTGCGCAGAAACCTTTTATTTGCAAACAAATGAGAAGCTGTCAGCAAGGGAAGACTTGTCCATCCAAGCTTACATGTTGTCATTTTGTGTTTACGACTAATGACTCATTTAAAGGGATCCATTATTAGGTGCAACATTAGACTTTAGTTAATAAACATATATTTTAACTGTAAAATAAAGACTGTAAAAATACTGTAGGATGTTCGGTTTTTATCATTTTTAAATTAAAAGTTTAAAAATATATTACACGGACGGGGCCATTTTATTTACACGCAAAGCATTCTGGGTAAATGATGACGTGGATAGGTCCTCGGTGCGAGGCTGCTAGTGAGCTATTTCCACCCTGAAGGTTAATCTTGGACAATATCTGATGATCGACTCTTTTAAATGAAACCAGAGAGCGTTGACAGAGAGGAGAAGGTAGAAATGACTCAGCCTGGAACTGAAAATATGGATGGAGGACAACAGAGCTGCTTCATGGAAGAAGAACCTCAGATTAGCCTGTTAGCTGTTAGCGTTAGCCCCGACCCCATCACCATATGTATTAGCTCAGCGCTACACATTCTCCTATCGTCACCGAGGTCCTCCATCCACATGACAAAAAGGGGAACACAAAAATGACTCAGCCTGCAACTGAAAATATGGATGGAGGACCTCAGTTTAGCTTGTTTGTTGCACTAACGCTGAGCTAATACATATAAGGCAATATAGCGTAATTTTACAGATATGAATCTAAAACTCGATGTGGTCGTAGCTGAGAGTCAGTCACAACACATACTCTGAGCATGAAAATGGTCATACTTGTACTTTCTCAACACAAATGAATTTAAAAATCCATCATGACAGCTGGAAAACAAGGTCTTTAATTTTCAGTGTTTTGTTTCGTACACATTCTCTCAGCAGTTTATCCACGCCTCTGTGTCATTTACCAGAGGAAGTGTTTGCTTTGAAGATCTGTTTTTATAATGAATAAGGATAATTCAGCCCCCCACCCCACCCCCATGAAACATAAAACCACTTTTCTGATCGTTCTCCATCGATGACCTTTAAAATACGGCACCCAGCTGAGTTTTGCAGCTGAATGTTAAATCTCTGAATCTCAAAGTAAAATCTGTAAACAACTGAAGTGTGTCCTTTACAGCTTTTTTGTCTCTGGTTTGTGCCAATCATTCATAAAACCAGTACAAACCTTTAGAATTAATAAAAAGCAGGTACCAGAGGAGTAATGATATGATGCTGTTTTGATGACTCAGTTATTTTGGATTGAGGAGAGAATTGTTAGTCGTCATGAGACGCCATCTTTGAACAACGCAGGCTTGACTTTTCAGTCCAAACTGACATTTTGTCCTAAAGATGACAAAGTTCTTAACCTCTTCAGCCCCAAGGTCTTTTTTAAGTTTGTGCATCACATGCCAAAATGTAATTGAGTGTTTCTCCGCATTTACAAACTCTAATGACATAATCTTGATATCAAAATAAAACGAACACTTGGAAGATTTCATCAGAAGTGTAATATTAAAGCAGCTGTTATTGTTTCAGAGATAGAGAGGATAGAACAGAAAAAAATGTATCTTTTATTCCCCCTTGCCTAAAGCATTCTTTTGCATTAAACATTATATAAACCTTTAAAATATATAATGAATATGGAAACCATAAATTCACATGTAAACATTAACTGTGCAAAGATTTTTGCAAATAAAAGAGTAAAGAGATAACTGAGTGTTTTGCCATTCTGCCTGTTTGTTCCATAATCAAATGTTAAATCTTAGGTTTTTATTTGCAAAAATTATTATTTTCTTGCCTAAAAAGGCTTGTTTTTAATTTAATTTAATTTTTATTTTAATTACTCACACATTTATATTTCACCCTATTCATATAAAACAATGAACAATTATGTTTTACTCCAACTGGAGCAGATTTACTCAAAATCAAGTTTAAAAAAAACATGTAAGTGTAAATGTAAATGTAACCAAAAAATGTAACCAAAAAATAAACATTCGAAAAAAAGGCGCAAATCTGTAAAAATGTTTCGATACCAAACACGTTTGTTTAAATGACAGATCAGCAGAAGTTAAAAGAAACAGAAAAACTGGAAATGCAGTTTTGCCTCCGGGCTCCAGAGGTAGATGCTAACAGCAGAACTGGAGATCCTTTGAACATTTTTTCTGACTTCTTTATCAAGGGTTTGATTTTCTGTCTGATTCTCTGGTTGTTGATCTGATTGGCTCAAGTTCACTTGTGTTTATAAGGTGATGGAAAGATGATTGGTCCAATCACGTTCCAAAGTAGGGCCATTTATCCAAAAAAAAAGGTAAAATGAGCAGGTTCCCTTTCAGTCAATTCACTCGGTACAACATCATGTATGGGAACCACGCCCCTGCGTGTCCTGGCTGAAGCCACCTCTAATCACGCCTTTAGGCAGGTGACGTGATGACGACAGATGTCAGGCTCCGCCTGCACATATAAATATTGCG